TGCACACTATATGATTCCTTGCATCTGTTTTTTTTTAATTATTGAATCTATTCTATACTTCTAAGCTCTCAAAAATTCACTCATTAATGTTGAGTCTGAGCTGACATACAGCTGACTGGGCTTTTTAAAGCTTTAACATGCATGGAAAGAGAGTGTCCCTTTCTCCTGAGGAGATGCTGCTGGATTTGAACTACCTGAGAAGTCCCCCCTGTATTAATTAGCTCACATTCCCACCAGAACTCCTTTTATATCTATGCTGATACATAAATGTCTTTCTCATAATTTAACATGCTGCATTTCCCCTAGATGAACCAAAGTTTATATAGCCATTCTTCTATTCTGAGCATTTAGTTGAAAACTATTTCTAAACAATTTTTGGACAAAGCTTTATTTTAAATGAGTTTTCATACATATTCCCAATATAAAAAATAAAATTTTAAATTAGTCTACCCTTTATTTAAGTGATAACAATAGTCACTTAGGCAAATTATGCATTTGTGCCTTGTTCATGTGCTTTTTGAGCAAGATTCTTTATTTGCAAAGTGGGAATAAAGATCTTATTTATCTCCCTGGCTGTGGGAAGGAGCAAATGCGTTAATACCTGTAAAAGTACTGAACAGAGCCTGAAATGGTATCAGTGCCATGCAGTTATTTACTGTGTTTTTTGCAGCACTGTGCTTGCATTGAATTGCAGTGTACTGGTCTTTGTAGAGCTGCCGTTGCTAATTGTCCCTTAACCTTGGACATGTTCTGAGAGCTTTCAGAAAGCAATGTTTTTTACTGGATTGTGTTATTCTTTAAGGATTTTATTATGACTTATATTTGTGCCGCCTCAGAGCCTTTCTTTAGAAATAAGAAAACATTTTCCTGGTTGTTTCCTCAGGAATAGTTATGCTTCTCCTAACTCTATCCAGTTACCTTTTACCAAATAAATCTGTGCCACTTTTAACTGTTCATGCTTCACTTTTCCCATTGGCCACCAGAGTGGTTAATATTTTTTTTATCCACTTCAAAGGGCAGTTCAGGAGAAAAAGTAAAGTATTATAATGATATGTGCAAAGAGCTGGAGTCAGAAAATGAAAGCAGCCAAACTCACTCAGCATTTCTTAAGCTCAAGGAACTGAAGAACAAATTCAAGCCTCGAGTTGCAGTGCTTAAGGATACTTTGGTCAGAATATTAAATGATCCAGGAAATATTAAAAGAAGATGGAAAGAGTATACAGAGGCATTGAACCAAAAGGAATTGGTGGACACAGAATAATTTCATGAAACAACATATGAGCCAGAGCTTATGGTGATGAAAGAAGAAGCTCAAGCTGCTCTGAAAGAACTGGCAAAAAACAAGACCCCAGGAATTGGCGGCATACCGATCAACATATTTCAGCAAACAAATGCTGCCCTAGATGTGCTTACCAAATTGTGCGAAGAAATCTGGAGGACAACCACCTGGCCAACTGACTAGAAGAGATCTTTATTTGTTCCCATTCTAAAGAAAGGTGCTCCAACAGAGTGTGGAAATTACTGAACAATATCACTAATATCACATACAAACAAAAGTCTGCCGAAAATTATCCAAAAATGACTGGAATAGCACATCAACAGAGAACTTCCGGATGTGCAGGCTGGGTTTAGAAGAGGCCTTGGTACTGGGGATATTGTAGCTAATGTTAGATGAATCTTGGCTGAAAGCAGAGAGTACCAGAGGAATGTCTCTCTGTGTTTCATTGACTGTGCAAAGGCCTTTCAGTGTGTGGATCACAACAAACTGTGGCTAGTTCTGAGAAGAATGGGAATCCTAGAACACTTGATTTGTGCTTATGTGAAACCTATACTTGGACCAGGAGGCATTGCCAGAACAAAGCAAGGGAACACTACATGGTTCAAAATTGGGAAGAGTGTACACTAAGGATGTCCTATCCTCATACCTTTTCAATCTATATGCAGAACACATTATCCGGGCGGCTGAGCTTTATGAGGAGAAATGTGGCATCTGGATTGGAGGAAAATTCATCAATAATCTGCATTATGCAGATGACAGAACCCTGCTTATTGAAACTGAGGAGGACCTGAAGCACTTGCTGCAGAAGGTCAAGGACTACAGCCTTCAATATGGATTGAAGCTCAATATCAAGAAAACAAAGGTTCCCACCGCTGGGCTGATTGGAAGCATCATGATGGATGGTGAAGAAATTGAGATTGTTCACAGCTTTAGTTTGCTTGGCTCCGCAGTCAACACTGTTGGCACCAGCAGCCAGGAAATTAAAAGACGAATTGCATTGGGAAAGATTGCTGTCAGAAACCTCTCCAAAGTACTAAAGAGCAGTGAAGTCAGTCTGGAGTCTAAGTTGCTTCTGATACAGACCATGGTCTTTGAGATCACTTGCTATACATCAGAGAGTTAGATAATGACTACTGAGGATAGAAGGAGAATTGATGCCTTTGAGCTGTGGTGTTGGAGAAGAGCATTGAATATACCATGGACTGCTAAGAGAACAAACAGGTTCATCCTGGAGTGGGTTAAACCAGGCTGCTCCTTGGAGGCAAGGATTCTGAAGCTTCATCTGGCATACTTTGGACATTTTGCAAGGAGGGGTGTCATGCTTGGAATGCTGGAGGGACCGCACAGGAAAGGAAGACCCTTGATGAAATGGATTGATTTAGTCACTGGGGTAATGGCAGTAGGTGTGTCAGAGACAGTAAGATTGACATAGGATAGAGCAGAGTTTAGGGCTGTTGTACCTAGGATCACTGTGAGTCGCAAGCGACTTGATGGTGTATAACGGTGTTACAGACTCTGTGGCATATGTTGCTGTGTAGTTACTGGGTTTATGGCTTCATTTTTCTTTCTTTATTTTTTGTTAGTGAACATTTCTGCCTCTATAATTTGTTACTGTGTGCCATTGAATTGGAAACGACCCATAGCTGACACTTCAGTGGGTTTTCAAAGGCATAGGAGGAGATAGACTCAGAGCAGCTGGTGGATTTGAACCATGTGCCTTTGGTATTGTAGCACAGAATCTTACCACTAGACCACCAGAGCTCTGCAGGTAGACTTTTAAATATACTGAGAAACATGTTACACACCATTTGAACAAGACATAGCTATAGTTTGGTCCTTGTAAAAGAAGTCTGTGCTTTGGTTTTCTCGCCTTCACTTCCTGCTGAAAAACTGGCGACTGGTGAACCCACGTACCCAGACACTAACACTAGCACTGAGTTTGATGTACAGAACTTTCCTTGAGTACTTACTCGGCCCTTTTCTGTCCTTTTTGTCCCCTGAAAATCACTGTCATGTAAGTTTTCTGAGAGAGAAGCATTTCACTTGCTGTTAAGGACTGTCGTCTACTCCCTCCCCCCCCCACTTTTTTTTTGGTCAGGTTCTGAGAAAATGTAGGTTATAATTATCATCCTTAGGTACTAGTCAGAGAGTTTGACCATGTTAGAACTGGAATATTAATTAATGTAACAACAATAAATTGCCACTAACAAAGAAGTCATTTGTGATTGTTAAAGGCCCCTTTGTGGTATGAAAGAGCTTCCATGTAACCATGAACAAGAAGCAGACTTGAAAAGCTGGAATAAAAGGCAGTGATGTGGCAGCAGGCGCCTTATACCATCTCTAGACTGTGCCTGGCACAGCCACCCTGGGAAATGGCCCCTGGGCCAGCCCTCCTGCAGTGTCTTTAACAAACAGCCACTGCTTCTTTCACAAGTAGGACTGCTGGGATTGAATGAGGAATGCTCAGTTCTCTTTTCTGTTGGAGCATTGGGACGAGCTCTGTCACTTGCCCTCACTAGAGGGTGCTTTGGGAAAGGTAGGAGTAGGAAAGGACAGAGGTGCCATGTCTGTTGGAACAGGGTTGGAGAGTCAGTTTTAAAGATCAGAATGGGCTCAGGAGAAGATGCTTGGGTTTCCTCACCAATTCAGACCCATGACTCTCCTGGAGGAGGGAGGGCGGGGCAGGGTGGTCAGTGGACATCTGCCTCATGTACATTGGAGCACTTACGCCTTTGTGAGGTCTGATCTTCATGACTGTCCCATCTCCATTTCTTAATAAGATCTACTTCCTCGGCTTGTTCAGCCTCCACATGGCCCTAGTTTCATTGTGGAGGAGGGAACATTGCTGATAAGTGGCCAGGTCAGTGCTACAAACAGCTCCCTCGCGCCTCCCTGTATATTCACACCTAGGACAGCCATGCCCTAGAAGGTGATTGAGTATCTGTCTAGTTTTTCGAGATTCTGCCTCTCCCCTGCCCTTTCAAAACCATCTCCCTTTGTTCTGTGTTCCATGGTTAGTGACTGCTTTCTAGTTCACCTATTTCCTCTATCCTTAGCCTTTTGATATCTCACTCTTGTTTAGGGTCAACTCAGAGTGTTTCATCTTGAATTGCTTCTCTCGGCCCCAGCACTGTGGAAGCACTAGCTTACCAGCCTGGCTACCAACTACTTCTCTCATGGATGAGTTTGACAGTTTCTGGAGGGAGTGTATAAATAGGCCAAGTGCCATGCAGTTGGCATCCCCTACCTTCCATGCACACTGCCATACACAGGACAGTTCTCCATATGCCAAGTATGCCATGGCTGCAGAAGATCCTGGCTGGACAGTTAAGAGATACTAAGATTTGTGCAGGAGTCCTCGTTCCTTAGTTCCTTAGTGGCTAGTACCACCTTACAGTTACTTCTCTCTCAGTGCCTCCAGCTAATCCAGACCCAACATGTTGAGTCAAGTGAAGCACCGCGAAGACTGAAGCTCCGTGGAAGCCCTCCCGGCAAGAGTGAGGTCATCCAGGGGCTGGTTTTGCCAATTTTTAAGGCACACCTTTCAACGGCATCTGGTCTGGTTGTCCTTGTAGTTTTGAAATTCTGCGGTTTCCTGTTTCGGTGGGTGGTTTTGCACATATAATCAGCCAAACTATCCTCACAAATTGTATACTTCATTTGAAAGCTGATTAGATGTTTTCCCAACATTAAGTGTCTTCTTTTATTTTCTTCTCTTCAGTCCCAGGTAAACCATCACAGTGCTGCTAGTAATGAAACCTACCAGGAACGCTTGGCACGTCTAGAAGGAGATAAGGAATCCCTCATATTACAGGTGGGTCCTTTCTGGTGAGAACCAGCATAACTTGTTCCCTCCAGCTGCTCGGCTTCTCCTAAGTGGGAGGGAGAGCAGAGGGCTTTCACTGTTGAGTTTATCCTGCTTCAAAGTGTATGTTATTTAAAAGGCTTTTCCAGAAATAAAGCAGAAAATGACTCCGAAAACAATTTTAACTTCGGACTTGACTTTAGGGTCTGGGAATGTGGTAATTTACTAAGTATGTACTCTACAATTTGGGTGTTCTGTGGCTAGGTGGATTAACGAGATGCGGGTACTACCATCCTAGACCTTGAGAGAGAGAAAAAACATGTGTTCATATCAATAATAGAGCAGAGTCCTAAATGACCCAGGCCTAAGGGTGAGTGCTAACGGGATTAGGTCTGAAATTGCCTAGGACTGGATCTAGACAGATTGTTTTGATGTAGAATCCCTGGGAGCTGGTAATACAGACTAAACCTTTCATGACTGTCTTGCTATCAGAGAGAGGAATCCAGAACTTTATGTGGAGAAATATAGTCAAAGCAATATTTTTTTTTCATTTCTGAAAATTTGCATTCCCTGGTAGGAAATGAAATTAGACATTCATATGCAAGACTTATTGCTAAAGAAGAGGCTCTTTGATGTGTGAAATCTCATATGCGAGTATAGATTTAGCAACCTTTGACTCCAGATCTGGTATGTGTAAGATACTAATTGACAAAATAGGGAATATAAAAATTAATATTGGAGAGAATGTAGAGAGGTTAGAACTCTCATACACTGTGGGGTTGTAAAATGGTACATTTCCTCAGAAAGCTGAACATTGAAATTCCATATGGCCTAGCTGTTCCACAGTTAGGACTGTACCCTAAGGATAGCAGACTTGAGATACAAATGCAGATTTGTACACTGATGTTCACAGCAGCATTATTTACCATCACAAGAACATGGAAACAGCCCAAATGTCCATCAACAAATGTATGGATTGAGATACTTTGGTACCATCACACAGTGGAATACTATGCAGCACTCAGGAGCGATTTTGAAAAATACTATATAACATGGGAGAGGCTAGAGAATATTATGCTGAGTGAACTAACTAGTCTCATAAGGACAAATATACTGCATAAGATCCTTATTGTAGAAACAGAAGGATAACGAGTTCAGTGGGTGGAAGAAGGTGTCAAGGAATTAGAATCCAGTGGGGATCTGAAAATATGGGATAATAATGGACACAGATCAATGGTGATTCATTTTATAAGACACAGTATATAGGAATGATTGTATGAAACACAATGTGAATGAAAAAAAAACCTCCACAAAAATAAAAACAAATAAAATTAATAAGCCCAGCTTTTTAGAAAGCCTTAAGTATTATGACTAAGACTTGTAGTTAAACAGAGGAGGAGACTGATGGGGCTTTAGAACCTCCCCAGGCTCTGGCTTTACCTTGGAGAACAAAAGTTTTAAGACTGCAATATGTTTGTTTTCCCTTCTCTTGTCTTTTATCTTTTTTTGTCTTATTATGTGAACATATGAGTACTCCATGATGATTTTAGAAAGTCTATAAACTTAAAGAAGCAGGCTTTTCCTGGTTTTTTCTTTTTTTCTATTCTAACTTTTTATCATAATTGAAACATATGAAATATACAATTTAGCCTCCTAGTTTTTCATTCACTTCATGAATTTGTTCAGTGACAATTATGTGAGTGTCCAGAACTTGCTGGATGCAGAGAATGTGACAGTAGACAGAGCCAGGTCTTGCTCATTAGTTTCTGTTCCTGTGTGCATGTGTGTGCGTTGGAGGACAGTGGGAGAAGGTTAGGTGGATAGGTGGACAGTAAAAACACCGTAGAAGTAAAATGCATCAGGTTGTGAGAAGTGCTGTGGAGAAAATAAAACAGAGTAGGGAAGACTTAGTCAAGAGACCCCAGGAAGCTACACAGGGAGCTTCAGAGATGCAAGAAGCACTTTGCAGGCAGAGGAGGCTCTTAGTCTAGAGGCCCTGAGGTAAGCTTGTGCTGGGTGTGTGGGGTGAACAGCAGGGGCCATTGTTGCTGAAGTTGAAGCCTGTGAGGAAGCTCTGTGGAAGCTGCCATCTGAGAGAAGGCTGGGCCAGATTTTATAAGTCCTCTTGCCTGCTGCTTACTGCAACTTCCTCCAAATTTTATTTTTGGTGAGGGTCATCCAGCATCTCTGAGGGAGAAAGCTGGGCATCTCCTCTCCTGTACTTTATATAATCAGAAATCCAACAGGGGGTCAACTATAATTTGATTCTGTACAGGTTGCAAAACACTTTCCAGGATTAGTTAAAAACAAACCCAAAATCTTTTCTAGTAATCAGAGTATATCGCCTTAAGGCAAGAATTTAATTTTTGTTTTACTCTATTGAAGATCCAAAATTAACTCAAGCACATAGGGAAGAATAAATATTTGAGCTCATAATCTAGAATTCTATCACATTTTGTTTTCATTTTCACAACTCTCCAGTCATAATAATAAGAGTGGAGACTGAAGTTAAGGAACTAGAACCCTGCATAGCTTGAGTTGTACAGGCAGCTGAAACATGGTCTATAGACTATGAGGGACCACTGATGCCTACAGAGCATGGCTCCAAGACCTTGTGCAGACCATGTGTCGTTTAATCCAGGGATTAAGTAGGAACCATCTTTCTCAGGCAGAAAGCAAAGCCTCCTCTTCTGAATTCCACTGTTTTGAAAAATACAGTAGCTGAGAAGGCCAGGACTCCTGATTGTCTTGGGCAACAAGGACAGTATAGACTCACTTGCCAAAAATAGCCCATTTGGGACTAAATTTGAAATCTCAGTTCACACCATGTACCAAACCCTGGGATGTGTTTCAGTAATTAATCTTTGGGAACTTAAAAATAGAAAGTTTAAAGTCACCCTATTAATTTAGTTTTTTCTTTCGTCAGGGGCCTTTATAATTCATAAAGTGTATTTAAACAATTGTAAATGCATTCACATTAACTCTTCTAGACTTGATCCTTTGAGTCCGGGCATGGTACAGACTGCTCAGCTGCTGACCTAGCAGATTGGTGTTTTAAGTTCACTTAGAAGTGTCTCGGGAGATCAGCAGCTATTGGAAGTCCTGTACAGCCCAGCTCTACGCTGACACGCTTGGGACTGGATGAGTGATGGCATGAGTGATGGCAACTACTACTGATAAATTCCTTGACAAACTGAAATGTTTTTAGATAACTTTTCTGCAAATGGAGATTATTCATTGCTTTAAAACCAAAATCTGTTTATTGGCACTTTATTATTTTTTTGGGAGTCCACCTTTTCTTTCTTCATCTTGTTTTGAGACATCTCTTAAAATGTTTCTTAAAAAAGAAAGGGACAATGAAAGGAAAAGAAAGGATTATGAGGAAGGTTGCTAATAAAGAACATATGAAAGCTAAGTGTGTATTTAGGGCGTACTTGAAATGACAACTGCAAATGGTACTCTGTTAACCAATAATTCCTGTGAATTCTCTTGGATTCTCCATGATCTTCAGAAAGATGACTTCTCCCTCCCCAGCCCTCACTCCTGCCACTGTTTGTGTAATGTGGCCTCTGTATACTTATGACTTTGAGTCATGTTATGGCCTGTGAAGCACGAAATCCTTTTTGGAGCCAAGTTTTGTCAGTGCTAATACATGCCCCATACATCCCACATTCCTTAATTACTTCAAAACACTTGCCTGATAGGTGAGTAGGACTCACACCCTATTAGAAAGGTAAGGTCATTGGTTAGTTCACACAGAAGTTTGGATTACTCTTCCTTGTGAGGTGGCAGAAGCCCTGGCAAGTCAGCTGAGCTATGCCTGAGGTTGGGGCTGCTTGAGTGAAGTCTATAAGAAGAATAAGGAATAGGTTCCAGCCCAGAAGCAGCTCTCTTGGCTGTTGGGTATTATTTTTCTTGAGTGTGTAAGGAGCCAGAAACGTGAGTCATTCAGGCAGTGATCAATAGTAGCAAGGTAAGATCTCAACTAGCGTTTCCTTCACCCAGGTCACTTTCTCTTCCCCACGAAAGAAAAGCCATTTGTCGTATGTAAGGCTCAGTGGTGTGTGTCACGCCTATGGGGCATTTCCTATGAAACATAGAATTTCTGCTTCTCCACATTTGCTTTATTTCTTTCCATAGGTGAGTGTTCTCACAGACCAAGTGGAAGCCCAAGGAGAGAAGATCCGGGACCTGGAAGTGTGTCTGGAAGGACACCAGGTGAAGCTCAATGCTGCTGAAGAAATGCTTCAACAGGTGAGAGCAGGTGGAGCTGACGGAACTCCTATGGGTCCTAAAGCACTTCATGAAGCCCTTTGCTGGGTCCATGTTTTATATCTCTCATTTTCCCATCCTGCCTGGAGGTGGGACTGGCTACTTCGTGCACAGTGTTTATACAGCAGATGAAACCAGCCAGAACACTGAGAGTGGCAGAGTGGGTGGAGCAGGAGAATAACCTGTTGAACTAGTTAAACAAATTCACAGAAGGGCACTTTCTTCAGGCCTGGCTCAGTGAAGTAGCCTTATTGGCATTGTCAACCCTTCTTATCACATGAACCATAATCTGCCTGCCGGAGCGTGGTATCCGGGGTTCTAGAGAATAACTTTGTTAGCCTGTTTTGTGCCTTTCACCTTCTTATTCTCATTCCACCCCTCCTACTCAGTGTATTATTCTTTGATAAAATTTAATGTGTAAATAACATTTTAGTATCATTTAATAGTTATCAAAACCGAAACAAAAACACCCCAAATTAATCTCTTGGCATCTTTGTTTCCTTTTTGATTTTGTCTGTATGTGTACATATAATTTGAAAAGCTCTCTTTAGACCAGAGATCTAATTTATTACTGTTTTTGTGTACATGTGATGCTATGAATTGTGTTTATATGACCATTTTTGTCATGGTCTCATAATTTCCAACAAGTAATGACTTGTAATTCTCATGCATATGAGATGTTTGTGGCCCACCAAGGGGTTTGGATAGCTTGTAAAATATGCATATAAGCTCCATGGCAATCTTGAGACCAGCAACCCCCCCCCCCAAAAAAAGAGAGAGAGATGTACTTAAGAAGGCATAGGAAGTTCTGGTGGCAAAGTCTAAAGGGAGTTGTGCTGCCAAGCCAAAGGCCTACTCTCTCTGGGTTCGAATTCACCAGCTGCTCCATGCGAGAAAGACGGGAAATTTTCCTGTGCTCTTCACAGCCTCAGAAACTCCCTGGAGGGCCAGCTATGAGTTAATTCTGACTCAACACCATTTGACTCAACACCATTGAGAATGAGGAGATTGATCAATTTTGCCATCTTCATAGATTTAAAAGCCATTCCAGCAGTAGATAGGAGTCCCTTGCTTAAGAAGAAAGACTAGGTAGGATTGGAATGCATCCTTTAGGACCTGGGTTTCCTGTGCTGAGAACTTCCTCAATCTAGGAGACAAAGAAAACTGTAACACCAGAGCTAGAAACAGTGGCAGCACAGGCAGCAGAATTAGAAGACTGTCCAGTAATAGCCCATCAGTTTCTTAGTCCATGGCAGGAGAAAGCTGAGCACCTTCAGTCAAGAGTGTTGGGGGCGGGGGAGTGAAGTGCCTCTGGGCATTTGCTGGTGAGGTTATAGTGCTTTATAACACCTACTCAAGCAAAGCAGATGTCTGCCCAGACCAGAAAGGGGCCTGCCTGAGGGTGGCCAAGAGGCTGTTCAACCTGTGGAATTGTGTCTCAAATTGTTCCTGATCCTGAATTGTAGTCTCTTGCTTCCTTAATTAGCACCATAACTGTGAGTATTACCTGTGAATTACATGTGCTCATTTTAATGAACCCAGATGAGTGGAAGGACCCAGGGGAGGGGTGACTGACATCAGAAGTAAAAAGATTGGAAGTGTGTGTATCTGACCCCCACGTAATAGAAATCAGCCTTTGGCTGTTAATGATTCTCCCCCTTCCTTATAAAGTTAGATAAGGTAGTCTGGCACTGCAAACACACCATGTTAAAAATTATCATCCTATGTTTGAGTGGAGTATTTTTTTTTCCATTTAAAACTTTTATGGTGTAGGAATCTATACTATTACTTAGAGTTTTTGGTTGGTTGCTTAGTAAGAATTTATTTAATCATCCTTTTGGATTCTTTAACCCTACTATAAATAATGAGCTGCACTGAGTATTTTTTTAGAATAATTTTTTATAGAATTCCAGAACTCATTGAAAGGTATGAATAGTTTATAACCCTTGATACTTGAAGTCAAATAACTTTTCCCAACAGTGGATGAATAATAATTTACTAGTTAACTGTTATATCATTTGTAAATAATAGCATATATTTAAAGCAAAGGGAAACAAACAAAAAAGTTTCTTCTTTCAGTTTCATGGTTTATTGCATTGGCCAGACCTTCTAGAACAATCTTGTTGTTATGTGCCATCAAATTGGAGCCTATTCATAGCTGACCATCTGGTGGGTTCTCAGAGATAGTAAATTGCACAGGAAGAGAATGCCTGTCTTTCTCCCACGGAACAGCTCATGGATTTGAGCTGTGTATCTTGGGGTGAACAGTATTGCCACTAGGGCTATCTAGAACAACAGTAAATAAAAGTAATGATACTGTACATTTTCTTTTTTATTTAATGATGCCACTAATAATTCTTAATTAGCTCTAATGGTGGCCATGGGTATAATGTACTAAAACAAAAAAAAAAGGCTATTCTATTTCTAAGGTATTTTTTAAGGAACGAATATTATGTTTTTAAATCAGAAGTCTTTTCAGAGTCTTTTGATAAGCCAGTAAGTTTGTTAAAAAAGCTAAATTTATTATTATGAATTTACTTAACAGATATTATTCATTCATGCTTGCAGTTTCTGCAACTTTGGAAAAGAAAACATTGACTGAAATGGATGTGCATCTCTGTTGTGGCTGTGAGTGTAGTAGTTGACACATAAAATATGCTCACTATTTTTTCTTTCCCCCTTAGAATCTTGGTTTCAATTACATCAAAAAGATCAATGTAATCTTTCCCCCCAAATTCTGACTTTTTTAGTTGTCTTCATCAGCACAAGATTTCTTCTTGACAATTTAGTAATGAACACAGGCTTTGAGTTGGCTCTTTGGCCTTAGGATGAACATCTTAGCTTCTGCTCCGCCTCACTTTTCATTTCCTTGCATCTGAAGAACTGAAAGCCAGTATTTGTATGCAATTATCTTCATAAAATCTGTTTTCAGCAGTTCAGAAGCTGTTATTAGTTTTTCTTTGCATTGCTGATGAATCAGTTACCACATTCTTGGCTACATTTGATTTTAAATTGATTTGTGGCCATTTCTCTTCCTCACAATATTTTCCTTCTGAAATTCTAAGTAGTAGTAAGAGTTGGGCTGTTCTTTTTAAGATCTTAGAAAGAAAAGACCCTGTTTGGGGGGGGGGGTAGGCAGTGGAATATCTCAAGTAATAAGGAAGTGTTATAACAAAGAAAACAGGAAACAAACCTGCTAGACTGAATTTTCAAGTCTGCACAAAGTGTGGTTTGTAGATGGAGATCAGGGAGGAGATGGTGAAGTGTTATTTAAAAAAAAATAATCTATAAACAGATAAAAAAATTGAATGTGTAGAGCATGCGTTAGAAAAATGTCAGTAGGTTGATGTTTCAGGAAGGATTGGAAGAGAACCAGGGAACAGCGTCAGAGAATGGTTGCATTGCAGTCCTTGGGTTATCTCATTATTCACCTGGCTCTCCTTCAGGGCTAGGCTACACAGCTTTCAATGGCAATGTCCCCACACCCTTGTCAGAGTCTCTGTCAGTGAGTCTGACATTGTGCCCAGACTCACTTGAGGAGAGGCCAGCAGCATACTATGGCCTGCATTTCATTGTTTTTGTCAAGTGCCTCTTACCACTCATGTATAAGACAATAAAGCACTCCTTGACTGCATTTTAGACACTTTAAAAAGTCTTTCTTTCTCTGGCTGAATTGTCTTTTATCCTTTTTCATTCTTAGTTTCTGTTTGTTGTGTGAGATGGGTGAGGTCATTGATATTGGTGTATATGTGCCACAGAGATAGTGTCTTGGCTTATAGATTCCCTTAATGGTGTAGATGGTTAAACACTTGCTTGCTCAACAAAAGGTTAGTGGTTGGAGTCCATTCCTAGGCTCCTTGGAAAGAAAAGATAGCCTGGCAGTCTACTTCTAAAAACTAATCAGCCATTGAAAAACGCATGGACACTGTTCTCCTCTGACACACACGGCATCAGCATGATTGAGGATCCACTCTAAGGCAAGAAGAGCTTTTTAGCTTCTTATTTGTCACCATTAGGTTTTAAAAGATCTTTCTGAATTAAATCACATTATTTTTATGGCCATAGGTTTCATTGCATTCTTTCAAATCTTCAAGTGTAAAATGGTTGGAATATTTCTTGTCAGGTTCTGTGTCCAAGCTATAGTACATCTTAAGCCTCAGTACCTGCTTATGTGTTTGCTAGGCTTGGTGGCACCCGAGCTTATTTTGCATTTCACCTCTGATTCTCAAGAACAATTCCACTTCTTTGACTGTGTATGTATGTGCTTGCTTCCTGAAGTCAGCTTAATGTTGTTTGTAAAGACACTTGATTCACATACTTTAGTGGTGATGCCATGCCGTCTATGGCTTGGAGTATGTGTCCTCTGCCCTGGAGCAGGTAGAGGCTTGCCAGATTTGAATGAGAAATTCTGAGCTGCAGGGCCTTTGACCTATGTGGTAGGACTAGGAATGGCTCTTGACCTTGAGGCAAAGAGCTGAGGCACTGTTACTTGGCCCTTTCTGCAAGCCTTCAGAAACTATTGCTGCCCTAAACTCAAGCCTGGCCTTATATTCAAATGCCAGAGGAGATCTAGAGCTCTCTGATTATCTGACCACCTGTCGATGCAGGGCTTCCCCTGGGTATGTGCTCCTGAGAACCCTGCATGCTGAACACAGTTTATGTAAAAGTGGCAGCTATTGACCAGTTGAATAAAAGTGCACACCTTAAAAAGTGAAAAAAAATCAAACAATGAGGAAGATCCTCAATGAGATGGATAGACATAATGATTCAGCAATGAATTTGAGCACTACATAGATTGTAACAATGATGCAAGAATAGGCGTAGTTTCATTCTGTTTTATTTTGGGTAAATCTGCTGCCAAGGGCCTCGTTAAGGGGTTCAAGAGCAATGATGTCACCTCAAAGACTAAGGTGTGTTGACTCAAAGACTAAGGTGTGCTGCCTCAAGCCATGATATTTTTCGTTGCTTTATACATATGCTGG